ATTGGTTCAAATGTTTAAACCGGGATTTAAAGGGTTAAAATTCTGAAAATCATTTAACGCTTGCTCATTTTGAAAAAGGTTAAAGTTGGTGATTTATGAGAACACGCAGAAAAATTATTGCTGTATTTTATGGCAGATTTTGTGCGTGGACATTTTTGTCCACGAAGGTGTGGAAAGGGGTGCAAAATTTGAGGGCACAAGGGTTAAAGGCAAAGCTCTCCTGCACACAGAATAATAAAACCCGAGGCTGCGTGAAAGGATTCTTTTATATAGAAAGAATTAGCTGACGTGTGTCTGACGTTATGTTCTGCTTACAAGTGTAAGCAGAAATTTCCAGGGTCTCAACAGCCATAGCATGATTGACTTATAGAGCTGCATAGTGACTGCAAAACGTATCTGCACCGTTAGAAAACACAGCGATGTCATAAACACCTATAAGAAAAACAAAAAACATGCATAACAATCAGCGCCACGTAGATAAACGCTGTTGGAGGACCAGCTGGCCTGTTTTCCGACCGTCCCTGTACAGTTACAGTAACGTTAGCTCGATCAACTGTAGAGCCCACTCTGATTGGATCATGGCTTCCCCAAAAAACTGGTGGCCATAACGGATATGCAGACAAAATCAAAGTTAAGATGAAAGTCGAGCACCTGACATGACCTAGTTAACATTTAAAGACGCACAATTTAACTTGTGTATCGCGTTTATAGACACGCGGTTTCACAAAAGCCCTAAATTCGGCCGTTTTTTCGCTGCCGCTTTGCTCGATCGTTGGGTAACTTAGCCATCTGCTAACGTCAGCTAGCATAGCCCGTTAGCTGGCTCTGGTTTCCATGTAGCGAACTGCGTCCGTGTTAGAAAGTTTGGACAGTTAGCAGTTCCTAACAGTAGTTACACCTCAGTATTCATCAAAACCGAACCACCGTTAGTCGTTTTACCTTTTCGCTGGATTGAAATTGCAGATAATTAGATGAAATTTTTATAATATTTCTTCAAAATATGACTGCTGTCCATAAGTTCACTCCCCCTCGGTGTTGTTTTGCTGTCATGTTTAAGTTGTTCTTGTGTCGCCATTACTGATTTGTCAATGTCACCGGAAGTCCCACCTACCGTAAACGGTGATAGGCTGAATCGCTGTCACTCTTGCAGTGTTGTTTCTGGGCGTGTGCCCGCTCTGTGACCAGTGCTGTAACTTTGAGAGCAGCAGCCTGGACGAATATCCCGCTCATGTAAAAGTTTATTACAAACATGGTTTGTGTTGTAATAACGTATTTGATGCTGTCCATCTGTCAGTGCTCTTCTCCCTGCCTTTAGAAATGAATACTTAAAAACTAATACTTTGCTTTTATAATTGTGTTTAACATCAGAGTAATTAGCAATTAGTTATACAGACTGTACATATATGCACTGCACTGTGTGTATAATATGTATGTATGTAACGTATGTATGCCTTTATATGTTCTTAGTTACTACAGCAGGAAAATACAAGCTCACTTTTTTATTGTTTCAAGTTTTAATTCAAGTTTTATTCATATTTAACATTTAATACACGAAGCTTCAAAAGCATGCAGAAGCAAACTTTATGGACACAAGGCCTGATCCAACGTAGAATCCGTGGGATGGTGAGCTTTGGGCCAGTGGTGGGTCATTCAATTGTCTTTTAAAGGAAACTGTCTGAAAGGATCCTAATAAATGAGTAGTTTTTTCTTACTGTCAGTATTTCACAGTAAAATACCAATAAGAGTCCTTCATTTAATCACCATGTGGATAGTAGCAGATAAAATACTTTAATTGTATAGTGCTACATGAATATATGGTTAGAATTTGACTCGTAGTCTAAAAGTGGTCAGTAAGACTATAAAGGTACTATATGAGTGTGAGTAGATTATAGTTTAAATGTGAAGAAAGGGATGCAGAGGGGTGTCTGTAGAGGGGCACAGCATAAATTCCATTAATAATAATAAATCATATTATAATCTTAAGTAATTCAATTTCAAAGGTCAACACAAATATGCAAATGTTATGCTGAACACTCCATGTCATGGTGAGGCTCCTCTCTGCTGTATCATCAGTAACCTTTAAGTGTGATTATGCTTTTTTGCTTTGTATTCTAGCTGCTTGTATTTAATGTAAATATGCTATCAGTCTTAGCCTTGGCTATTCTTCCTCCATAAATCCATAAATACACATCTACATTAATGAAGATATAAACAAGCAACCTCTTTTCATGCAGATATCATTTACATTCATACAACAGAACATAAAAATTCTCCTGATAGCAAATAACAAATAACACACTTTTAGGGGATCTGTGAGGCGTAGCTGGTATATTAAAAGTGCAAAATATGGAAAAAGCATAAAAGCCAATAAACAGTAAGTTGACATTGTTAAACCTAAACTGAGATTAAACGTCTCAGCATACATCATCTTGTGGCACTTGTACATATGTGTGTTTGTCTTTCCACAATCAGACAAAACTGCTGCACTGAGTCAGCACAGCTCTCCTCTCCTTGAAGCATCGTCTTCTTTAAAATATATCAATTAAGTGATTAAATCAAATCTAACAACATGCAGATGTTGCACATTTCATCTCATAGAACTCTTTATGTTGTTAGTTACTTTTTGTAGTTTATTTTTTAAAAAAAACTTCTGCAGTTCATTTTTATTTACATAGTGTCAAATCACAACAACATTGCCTCTGCGGACTTTATATCCTGAGCTAAAAACTCCACAATATATGAGAGATCATGTCGCTGTCAGCTGTCAGTCACAGTCTGACTACATCTTAGCACAGTGTTTGCACACTGTTGCTGTGGTAACATTAAAGCAGTTTAAAGAAAGCGCTCCTGCATGCAGTCTGTGGAGTCAACACTAGATGGAGACACTGACCAGCGGATGCCTCAGCGAGCCGGCCTCCTGCTTTGACACAAGCACCTGTGAAGAACCGCACGCCTGGGCTCTAAACAAACACGCCAAATCCAGAGTGATTGAGTACTGCAGCACACGTTTACATTTACCAACTTAGCAAGTCTGACGATAGCAGAGTTTAAAGGCAAGCCATGCAAATAATGCACAGCAAAGCAAAGCTCCATTTGCATCCTATTGATATCAGAAACTGTGTTTTGTTTTCATTATGAAAAGATAAAGCTGTTTTTACTGAACATCGTTTATTTAAACTCAGAGTATTACTCTTTTCTGCATAGTACAGTTCATAATTTGTCAGCATTTACATGAAGTGTATTTTATCCAAATGAATTAAAATAACGATCAATAACGATTACAGCCTATTTCAGCATGGTAATATATTCAGAATATTTCCTTGGGATCACTTCCAGGCTGACTCTTTCTACAAACTGGTGCTGTCAGGCTTTCAGAACCACTCAGGGAAGTCAATTATTTTAACGCCCTGTTGGCTTTTTTTTTTTTAAACACACCCAAAACCTTTTGGCCGTCTTCTGCTGACAGGAAGAAATGTGCATGTGCTTCACATTAGAAAGTTTATATTTCTCATTTTTTACAGTAGATAAAAAATAAGATCCACCAGATCCTACAAATATGCACAAAACTCGTCTGTTTTACGGTTATTTTCAAATGTAATCAACAGGATTTGCAATAAAAATCAAATATTTAATGATTATTTTTCAAATTTCAGTCTTTTGAAAAAATAGTTTTATTTGATGTGAACTTTCTGTGCACGAGCAGTGACACTCTGATGACCTTCAAAGGTATTCAAAGGCCTGACCAGCCATCATTTGAATGGCCTGCACCCCACAGATCGATAAACAAAGCTGCTCACGACATTTTGTCCTAACTTCCCCTCCTTAACAATTCTGCCCTTTCTTACGTGTCCTTATAAAGGATGTGCACAGGGTTCCTGAATGTAAATCTTACCCAAATAAACAAACCTAATTAAGTTTGTGGTGAAAGCCACCACCCCCTTCAAATTCACCGAGCCAGGAAAGGGCTTGGCCGCAGTCATTTGTCAGTAAAAGGACTAGTGGTTGTGGCTTCCATTCACCTTGAAACCCTCCGTAAAAGGCTTCAGGGAATCACTGGCATGACAATTTATTCAAAGTCTAAAGGTTTTTAAATAAAGGGTCAAACAAAAGAACATTCAAGTAGAAATGCAAAGAAGGGCTCTTCAATTTTCTCTTCTTTGAAATATCCTATTTTGCTTTATTAGTCTCTTTAAAGGCCGAATGGGACTGAATAAAGAATACCACATGTGAGAGTTTTACTTTTTAAATACCAAATATTTCCAGCAGCAATTAGAAAACACTTTTAGTCATTTTTGATAGTAAATAATTAGGTTTGAAAGGTGCTTCTGTTTCTGGTACCAATCAGCATAAAATACAGTTTCTGATTATTCTGAAAGATTATTATTGTTATCTTTTTGTGTTTTAATAAATGAGCTTTGGTTGGTCTTCAGACTGCAGAACTTTAAACTGGCGCCAACAGAAAATCGCATATACTCGAGTTTTGGCTTCTCTTCATTGGTTGCCAGAAAATTTTAGTTTGAATTTTTTGGGCCCTTCATGGTCTCGGCCCCAGTTTATCTCTGACATACTCAAACATCAGGTCTTCAGGTACGAGGCTGCTGCTGCTGGCCACATTTACTCGGTTCAAAATTAGTGGGGATCGGGCTTTCAGGGAGAGAAGCAAGGCTGGAATTCACTCCCACTGTCTTCACGTCGTGCAGACTCCACTGAAACCAGCTGAGGACATTTTTATACATACAGGTTTTTCATTTAATTTAATTTGTTGTTTTATTCTATTGCTTTACATTGTTATATGTTTTATTTTTATCTCTTATTTTATACATTTTACTTACTGGCTGACTTAATAATAGTGGAATAAAATCAGTTCAATAGTTGATTAATTAATGGTTAAAACATTTTAATATTAGATGTTTGCCTGGCAACTATATTTTAAATTTATCTTGTAAAAATATATAGTCAGCAAACCCTTTCCAGTGTTGCTCATTCACTCATTTATTTTATTTTCATTTAAATGTGGGCTGCTTTTAATCTGACTCATCTGTACAGACAAAGCCTGCACAGCTCTACGAGGCTCATATACACCAGAAATACTTAGAGACGTCTCTTTCCGTCAGCAACCCCTGATATAAAATATAAAACTGATTCCCATGGCCTTACAAAGGACGTTATTGGCCTCAGTGAAAATTCCAAATGAAAGGAAAAATAATTTGGATTGCAAATGCGAGCAATTATTTTTTTAATTCCACATAAAACGTCTATACGCAAGATGACAAATGTGCTTAAAATAATATGCAGATAAAAGACGCCGTGTATGGTGGCTCTAATCCAAGCAGATCCCAACCTGAAGACAGCAAAGACGATACGGTGAAACAATAAAGAATCCATATAAACCACAAAATATATGACCTTAAATGCAGAACACACACACACACACACACACACACACACACACACACACACACACACACATATATTTTATGAAATATCTTAACAAATAAACAAATTAATAATAGGTTTCAATCAAAGCTATTATTAATGTCTCCAGAATTAGAAAGTAGACAGCAAAGTAACAAAGACAGAAGTAAGTTATTAAAGTATTAAAGTTATTAGTACTAATTTCCTGTTGGCCGTCACATCAGCGGCTAACAGAATCAGAGGCTTGTGCACACACTGCGTCTGCACAGGTGCAAACAAAGCCTGTGTTATAATTAGTTTTACATGAGCCACATTTGGCAGCGAGCTGTTTGCTTTTTCTCTGTGTTATCTGAGAGTCCCATTTGAATAACCAATGCTTACATTGTGGTGTACTTGATTTATTTCTGAGCTGGATGATGGAATGGCTGTTTGAACAGCACAGACAGGCAGCACTGAAATAATAAAGCGGCCATGTTTGTTATGAGTAGATACCAGTAAATGTGCTTGTTTAGTGTGATACAGTTCACATTACATGTGTCACTGCTTGTTCTTTGTATTACAGTACATACAAATTATTATTGATATTAGCAGCTGGAAGTTCTTAAGTTTTCTCTTTTTACTTAAATCCTGTTATTTCCTTTTATCTCTTATTCATTTTTGACTTTTTATTTCTAGTTGT